CAACAAAGATTTCATATAAAGTTTGATTTTTAACGTATGAAACACAAAAGCTATAAATATAAAAGAAATCGATGTTCTAATAAATATAAAAAAAAACAAATTTAATGAAAATTCAACGTGTTTTATCTAATTCATATTTTATGTATGATGTTTTTATTTTACAACTAATCAAAATATTTAATTAAATTTTTTAGAAGAAAATATTTAATTAAAATTAGTTACCTAGTATATCAATTACCTAATATACATTGTATTTTAAAGACGTTTGTGAATCAAAGTGATAACGTTCACAATGTTTCACATGCATCACAATGTATTTTCTTAGTTTTATGAAATGTATCATAGTGTGCATTTTCGTTATTTTCATTGTTTTACAAAGGATGTCACATTGTGCATCTTATATGCATATCTGAGTATCACAGTGAATATCGTTTGTATATATCACAATATGTATCTTGTGTTCACATAAGGTTAATTGGAATAAAGTTCACCGAATAAAATTCGTCAGAGCGAGGAAAGAGGAGATGAAAGATTTGAGATAGGATATTTATAAAATTTCTAAAATGCCCTTAATTAATATTTTAAGTTAAAGTTACCAAAATTATTAATTTCCTAATTTAACCTTTGATTTGTAGTTGAGATTGGATCTGACGGTTACCACAAACAAAACAGTTCTTATTTAATAATATATATATATATATATATATATTATTCTATTTATATTTTTTAGAACTTTTATTTTGGTATCTCAAACATTTAGATCTAATTACGTTGATTGCATGAAAATGCAACATATATATTATTCTAATTTATAATTTGCACATAATGCGACATTCGATAATACCAAAATAAAGATTTGAACATATGTTATAGAAATAAGAGCCCGATCACTACAATAAAATTGGTTTTATAGGACGACACAAATTTCTAAGCGTTTTAATAGACTTATGGGCCGTTTACCAAACATTTACTTGGGTAAGTGTTTTCCGAGTTACATTACCTTACCGGATGAAAATGATAAAGACCAAGAATTTTACCCGGTAAGAGCGAACGCAAGGACCGAGAGTCTTACCTGATAAGTGAAAGCGATGACTCTTACCACGGTTAGCGCTTACCAGATAAATTGTTGCATACAATGTCGTTTTCGTGAACTAAAATTTTACCCGGTAAGTAAGTGATAATGTTGAATTTTACCAGTAAGTACTTATCAGGTAAGTGTTTGAGTAAATGACTCCTTAATTTATAAGACAAAAAAATAAAGCGTCCTATTTAAAGGCGTTTTAATAAGTTGATATGACGTTTTTTGGCGTCCTATTTAGCAATTTACAAGACACTTTCTCAAACGTTTCCTATAACCCCATCTTTTTCATAGGACACTTGCTTTATAGAACATTTTAAAAAATAATGTTCTATAAAATTGTTAATTACACGTTTGTATTAAAAATGTTCTAAAAAACTTGTAAAACGCCCAAAAGTATCGCATAAACTTATTGTAACGCCTTTAGATGAGATGCTTCATTTTCTAGTCCTATAAGCGGTCTATTAGGACGCTTAAATTTTTTTGACGTCCTATAAACTTGATCTTGTTGTAATGAATCATAATAAATACAAGAGTAAACTACAAATTTGGTCCTTGTGGTTTGTCAAAACCCTGGAGTTTCGAAATTACAAGATAACCAATATGGTTTGCTTAAACATTCGGGTTCGGTCCCCTGATCACTCTAACGATCGTCAAAAAATCTCGTTAAATAAGGGACATTTTCGTCTTTTTATCATTTTTTTGTCTTTTACTCAATCAAAAACCACATGGATCAAAACCAAAAATATATATTTTGATTGGATAAAAAATCAAAAGGAAATCGATAAAATGACGAAAATACCCTAATTAACAGCCGTTAGAGAAGCACCAAATCTGAACGTTTTTGCAAACCATGATGGCCTCTTGTAATTTCGAAACTGCAAAGCAAAAAACCATAAAAGACCAAATTTAGGGTTTAAAGTTCACTTACAAAAACTCGTACAAATTTTATCAAAGTATACGATTGAATTGCTTTTATAAAAACCCTCAAAAGGCATATTTGATAAAATTCACAATGTTATAAAAACACTTAATTATATTTTATAAAATATATCATTTATTTTTATATTTTTTTAGTTAATCAAACGACAGTATATAAGGGACGAAGTCTTTTTCGACTGACTCGTATCGTTATATGTAGGGCACCATGTTAAACCACTCAAAATTATATCTGAATATATGCATTTTAAATATATCTGTTAACTATATAAAAAGTGTGTTTTAAAATCCAATTTAACTGATTAATTCATACGTTTTTTACTTCATATCAAATAAATAAACTACGAAGACGAGAATAATTATTGGTCTAAACGTAAAATTATAAACTTAATATTCGAAAATTAAACACGATACATAACTATTAAAAAAACGTAAAGAAGAAATAACCCGTTATTGAAGTATGAATACAATTCGTACGTTGAAAATCTATCTGTTTTAATAATATTTTCCACCACAAACAATAAAAATATCAGTTAAATAGAATATATTGGGTTCGATAACTCCGATTTCACAATTATCAAAATTAACGACATTGTTGAGTGTAAAAAAATATAAATATATCTTGAGTTACGATGCGTGATTATCGTCAAGGAAAACTCGCAAAATACGTCAATCAGAAGTTAATACTCTAACAAACCAAATATGATGGTAGTGATTTTCTAATTTTCCAACTAATTTTTCTCAATTGAATATTTCTTGCTCATTTTTATTTATTTTTTTAATTTTATAATATTTATATATGTTCAATGAACGACAAATAAACCTATACACACTTCTCATCTTTGGTGTATCCTTCTCACCATTTCCTCGCAACACACTGGTGCAAGGACTTCATCTCATCGCATAACATGGGTGCGATAAACCAATTTGTCGCATCAATAGGATGTAATAAATCGACTTGTCGCATCACATTGGTGCGACAAACATAACTCCTCATATCAGAAGGATGCGATAACAACTATTAATCGCATCAATAGGATGCAACACTCTAAGTCATCGCATCACACAGATGCGACAACTCCAAGTCCTCGCATCACAAGGATGCGACAACAGTTAACAGTTTGATCAAAAACCCAGATTTTACATTCCATTGATTATGTCACCATTATCCTGGTATATATACCTTTCCTTGATATGTCACCCTTAAAACCAAAATACACATCTCTTTGATATGTCACCCACTCACCCTTATTCCAGAACACATGATATAAACATATCAAAATCCCACAATTATGCTAATTAAAGCATCAAAACATTTTTATATCAACCTCACATAAAGAACCATTTTGTTCCAAATTTCAACACCAAATAAGGAAAGTTTGTAAAATAACTCACCTTATGATCACAAAGATGAAGATATGAAAATGAACAACAATAATTTATCCATGACAAGAATCACATAAACTGTTTCTACTTGCTTCCTCTTCTTTGTTTTGTTTACTTGAGCTCCAGAACAGAACAGAACAGAACACACACACCCCAAAACTTCTTACTAATAAAATAATTTAAACATATAAACAATTTAACCCCCTCAACTTTCCACCACTTTTAAAAAAACCCCCGAATTTTATAACCGAATAACCGGTTATCACATGTCAAAAACATTGGAATCTTACGTAAATCATATGTTACTTGTTGATGAGGTAAGAAAAGTTTTTAAATTCTATATAAATTAAATGTTTGATAGATATTCAAACTTCGGAATTGGCCCACCGAGTGCGAACTTAACCCTTCCTCGAAGTCAATCACAAGCCAAAATTTCAAGACTAAGTCGTTACCGAGCGAGTCTTTTAATTATACGTACAATAACATGCTAAACAAGACAAGTTGAGCTGGTTTGATCATCATCAACCATTCAAATAATATCTTAAAGGATGCATTTTAGATGCCACTTCTTTTTAAAATATACGTCTTAAAATACAACTTAGGCCAACGTCAACAAAAAAATCATATATTTTAACGTAAGAAACACAAAAGCTGTAAATATAAAAGAAATCGATGTTCTAATAAATATAAAAAAAGCAAGTTGAATGAAAATGCAACATATTTTATTTTGATTCATATTTTGTGTAACATACTTTTAAAACTTTTATTCTGTTACTTTATGTATGACATCTCAAACATTTAGAAGAAGGTACGTTGTCCAAGATATAAATCAAACCAGGATATAAATTGCATGAAAATGCAATTATATATATATATATATATATAAGTGAGTTATTATGCAACCTCTTACATTTGTACAACCAATACAACTCAATCTCAACAGTTTATTTAATTTGATTAATATGTGATTTTATAAGAGTTTTAATTGTTTCATAATATAAAATATTGATCATAATTAATGAACTCTAGTCATCTTTCATAAATATTCAAATCATAATAAATGAACTCTCATCATTTTTATAAATATCTCAATTGATTGGGTTGTACAAATGGACATGGTTGCATTTGAAATATACCATATATATAGATATATATTAATCTGATTTAAATTTTTTGTAAGCAACTTTTAAAACTTTTATTTTGGTACCTCATATATGATATCTAAAACATTTAGACCAAAATATGTTACCCATAATATAAATCAAATAAAAGTATATTCCATTTTCATGCACTCTGAATATTAAATCAGGTGCTTAAATATTTGAGATATCACATTTGATATACCAAAATAAAGATTTGAACATATGTTATAGAAAATAGGAGTCTGATCATAATACGTTGTTGTGTTTTTGTACGATTTTCCTAATATATGAAATAATATATTCAAGATTCAAATTCAAAATACAACTACAACCAAAGACGTAATAATAACTTGGGATTGTAGAGGGACATTTTAGTCAATTTGACCTCTAGTGGACTAAATTTTCCACAACACCGTTGCTATAAATACTCCCGATAGTATGCATCATTTAACCAAAACACTAAAAAATATTCCATAATGGCGTTTAAAGTAACCTGTTTACCCTCTTTGTCGCTCTTATTCTTCCTTTTCTTCTTCTCTCGTACCATGGGTAATATTGGTAATCCCACCAAATTATCCTCCATTGAGTCCATCAAACAACTCAAAGGTTGTTGTGATAAGGGTAGYAAAGCACAAGGCCTCCATCAACTTAAACTATACCTTGCCCGTTTCGGTTACCTAAATTACCAACATACCCCTGAACACACCAACGCCGAAGACGACAAATTCGATGATGAACTGGAGGCTGCCCTGAAAAGTTACCAAAAATATTACCGTCTAAATGCAACAGGGACACTAGATGAGGCCACAGTTTCACAAATGATTGTTCCTCGTTGTGGAGTACCAGATAAAGAAATTCACCACCATGGATCGAAATCGTTACCTACTGTTTCTTTTTATCGATTCTTCCCAAATAACCCTCGATGGCCCCCCAGTAAAACCCAACTCACCTACGCGTTCGCATCCGACTATCCAAACAATCATGTACCTCCAGTTGTTCGTGCCTTCAGCCAATGGTCGACTGCTATCAGTTACTTTACATTTTCGCGAGTCAATGATTTTAGGAATGCAGATTTGAAGGTGAGTTTTAAAAGAGGAAATCATGGAGATGGGTATGATTTTGATGGGGCTGGTGGTGTATTGGCGCATGCTTTTGCGCCAACTGATGGAAGGGTTGATTATGATGCAGATGAGAAATGGTCAGATGGACCAGGAGCGGTTCCGAATGCTATGGATTTTGAGACGGTAGCGGTTCATGAAATCGGGCATCTGCTTGGGTTGGGGCATAGTGATGATCCGAATGCCTCAATGTTTCCTACCGTCTCTTTTGGAGTTCAAAAGGGTTTGAATTCAGATGATATCCAAGGCATCAAAGTTCTTTATGGACTTAATTAATTWTATATGTGGTCGTTATGTATGTATGCATGCATGCCTCTATGTTGTGAGTCTTTGATCATGACAATATGTACAAAAAGGGTAAATGGAATAAAAATGTAATCTTTAATATGATTTTTATTTTGTGTGATGTTTTTTCGAAACTTTCATTTTGGTAACTCAGATATGATATCTCAAACATTTAGACCAACGTATGTTAACCCAAACTAGCAATTAGGTCAAAAGTACTTAATTTCATTCCTTCTCGTATTTAACATAGGTACCTAAATGTTACAAATGTCACAACCGAAGTACTGAAATAAAAGTTCTAAACATACGTTAAATAAAAATAAGAGTTAAAACAAAATATGTTGCATTTCCATGTAATTTGATTGAAAAATATAATATTATAAATGTAACATCACAGGTCAATCATACAGATATTGTCCATTTTGTCCACACAGTTGGACTCAGGGTTTTAAAACATGTCTGATCGTTGAGGTATCAAGTCCCTTATAAGACAACTTTTGTTCCTCTCCTCAACCAATGTGAGATCTTATAATAAAGTTAAGATTCAGATTCAAAATATAACTATTATAGAAGAAAAGTAAGTAATAACTTCGAATTAGAAAGGGACATTCTAGTCGAACTAGAATTTACACGGTACCATGGCGATAAACAGTCCCAATATCATGCAACTTGTTTAAGGAAAATACAAAAAAAATATTCGCTAACGTTATTCAAAATGACTTTTTTACCGTTTTATTGATCTTATTCTTCCTTTTATTTTTCTCTCGAGCCATGGGAAATATTGGTGATCCCATCAAACAACTTAAAGGTTGTGACAAGGGTAGCAAAGTGAAAGACCTCCATTATCTCAAATTATACCCGTTACAAGTTACCAATATGACCCTAACCACACCAACGTCGAATGACAAATTCGATGATGAACTCGAGTTTGTCCGCAAAATTATCAAAATTATTACCATCTGAAAGCAACCAGGACACTAGATGAGGCCACAATATGAGACTATTAAAACTCAACCCATAATTCGCCATTTGAAAATATTCAATTCTCATGGTGCTACCTCAATACCTCAGGTTTTCCTTTTATATATAATATAATATAATATAAAGATAGAGATTTTAATTGTGTTTTGCAATATAATTTTACCAATTGGTTTTTTGAATTTAACCATGGTTATAGATTTCAAAGCATCTATCATGCTTTTGTACATCTATAATCTTCTTCCAAATCTTTCCACCAATGTGAGATGATGAAAAACAACTTTATTTCAAGATTTGAAGCACACTGAGACCTCTTATTGCCAAATCATCATCAATGATTTCACTTTTAGTTTTGGGCTATGATTTTTATCATTTGGTTGGTTTTGATTCCAACCATGGTTATAGATTTCAAAAAGGTCATCCAAAATAAAACAACCTATGAGGAAAACCCCATGAATTGACACATATTCATCTTTTTTATACACTTCACTTTATTCAAAGCTTTTAAACCCCTCATCAATGTGGGACAACTAAAATTCAACCACAATCCACCATTTGAGAATACTTAATTCTCATGGTGTCATCTCAATACCCCGAAGGTTTCCTTTCAAATTTGAGGATCACTCAAACCTCATGTTGTTAAGTCATCATCCTTGGTTTCACTTTTATATTTGCACTATAATTTTTACAATTTGTTTGGTTTTGATTCCAACCATGATTATAGATATCAAAGAAGGTCATTCAAAATAAAAAAAGCCCTATGAGGTAAACCCTATGATTTGATACAAATGCATACAATCCATCTTTCTTATACACTTCATTTTGTTTAAATCTTTCACCCTTCACTAATGTGGGATAACTAAAACTCAACTATAATCCACCATTTGAGAATACTCAATTCTCATGGTGCCACCTCAATACCTCAAGGTTTTCCTTTCACATTTGAGTAACATTCAAACCTCATGTTGTCATTTGCCAAGTCATCATCCTTGGTTTCACTTTTCGTTTTGCACTATTACATTTTGTTGGTTTTGATTCCAATCATGGTTATAGATTTTAAAATGGTTCATTCAAAATTAAAGATTTCGAAAACTTGAATTTTTGTTATTAAAAATACAAATATAGTTGGCTTTTAAATCTCTCTTAAATGAACCTTGGATTTTGTGGACATATCTTGTAAAAGTTAAAAAGTCTAAATGAAAGTCGAATTTGTCAACATATAATATGAAAGTCGGCAAATGTTCTATCAATTTCAAACCGTAGAATTAAACAGAACAAAAACGTTATAGAACTGTGAATATTACTATCCAAGCTTTAAGTATTTCATGTTTTTTTAGAACGTAGGTTCCTCTTTTATAAGGGACGCGTTTTTTTAAAAGGAAAACCGTTGGCCGTCCTGCGTCCTCATATCATTTAATGTCATGAGTTGAGAATGTCGAACATTTATAAATACGTAAGACCCACATAAATAGCTATTCTTGGTACCATTTAATAAGGCTATGTCTGGCAAACATAAGCTAGCTTATTTTTGTGCTTATTTCAAAAGCAATGTTTGAATGGTCAAAAAGTAGCTTATAAGCTCCATGAGGACCATGACCTTTTGACATTTTTTTCCCAGCTATATACATGATTAATATTAACTGTTATTTACAGTTAGTTCAGTTATTTAAAATTATTATTTAATGTAGATATTTTTCTAAAAATCCATATTTGGTTTTATACATATATATATATTCAAAATTTATAATATTATATATGTGTATATAGAATTGGATTCATAAGAAAATAATATGTATTTGAGAAAATAAGAGAATGATTATGGACCATGTATTTTATTAAATAATACCTTAAATAACTAATTGTAAAAATAAATAAATAGAAGCATAAAAGTAATTTAGTTGTATAAAAGTTATTTAAGATTTTATTTTTACTATATTTATGATTTTAATATGATATAATCTTTTATTTAAAAAATATTTTATATTAAATACACTTAAAATAATTTATTTAATTTTCATTTAAATAATTCATTTTTTATTTATAGTAATATTTAAAAAGGTACAATTTTTGTCAAAAATCACATATGTTTCATAAGAATTAATATCACATATGATACATTGACGAAAATTAACGATATTATTTTCTGAAAGGAAAAAATGTCAATTTACTTGCGGATATTACATATGATTTTTGACCAAAATTATAAAACTTACTTAAATAAATTCCTTCAATAAAAAAATATTTTAAATATAGAATATGTATACAAAAAAAGACACATATGCCCTTTTGGATTATTTTCTAATACCATGCATCAATCAAGTTTTGATAGTTGATACAGTACTACCAACCAATTAGATTGGTACCAACCAAATTGGTAGAGTTGGTACGAGAATTGGTTGGTTTGTCTTGATAAAAAATTGACACCCCTAAGCTTAACACTTCTCAATTAGTTTATTAGCTAACAACTAGTTCGTTAGACGTAGCCCAAATCTATCGATGTTGACATATACCGTTACTTGCCTCCGTTTTTTGTCTTTCAAATAAAATTGTGGTCCATTTTTCAACGTATTACTTATGAAAGAACTTTCACCACACACATTTGGACAAGAATACAAAATTTTCATGCACTTGACTTTTTGATATTTTTAAGGATATGTTTTCAAATACAAGTAGTGAAAATATTAGTACATAGAATTATGTCAAGTCTCGTTTATCAAACATCAAAAGTAACGAGATTGTTAGGTGTAAATAAACATAAATACGTCTTGAATTGCCGTAATATGATCTCCTACGTATCGATGAGTGATTAAATACAGGGATAAGTCAGAAAATACGGCAATTACAAGTTCTGAAGAAATGCGGTATCCCCTTGTATTCATGGCATTAGCAAATCTTCTTCGTCAACATTAAGGGGTCAAGTTGTTTACGAGTGAATCATACAATTATACGTATGATAAATGATGCATTTTAGACATCAGTAATCTTTACGTACACCTCTTAAAATACAACTTCGGTAATCATCAACAAATAGAAATTCACATAAAACTAGATTTAAATCCCAACATCGAACACAAAACCTATAAATACGATGTCTAAATATGAAAGGGAAATTGAATGAAAACGCAAAATACTTTGTTCTGATTTCTGTTTGGTATAATGTACTTTTGAACTTTTATTTTGGTATCTCAGATATGATATCTCAGACATTTAGACGAACATATGTTACCCTAAAATAGGAATCAAACCAAAAGTATATTACATGTCATTCGTTCTCATATTTAACGCTAAATGTTTGAAATGTCAGTTCTGAGGTATTGAAATAAAAGTTTTAAGCATACGTTACATAAAAATGTTGTTTTTTTCATGTAATTTCACTAAAAAAATATATAACATTATACAATTAAAATTCATATTCAAAATATACCAATTATTAAAAACGTACATATATAATAACTTCGAATTAAAAAGGACATTTAAGTCAGACTAAATTTTCCACATTACCACGGCTATAAATAGTCCCCATAACATGCAAAATTAACCAGAACACAAAAAATACCCGCTAATGTCGTTCAAAATGACCTTTTTACCCTTTTTATCGATCTTATTCTTCCTTTTATTCTTCTCTCAGACCATGGGAAATATTGGCGATTCCATCAAACAACTTAAAGGTTGCAACAAAGGTAGCAAAGTGCAAGGCCTCTATCATCTCAAAGTATACCTTGCTCGTTTCGGCTACCTAAATTACCAACTTAACC